AGTACAGCGTACAGCCAGGCGTAGGTAGGACCATTCTATACGGTGCTTTTAAAGAATCCGAACTTCTCGTCTTCTGTGTAGGTTTACACGTGAATTATGTTATTAGATGCAAATTTGTACCCCTCTCCTGCCTAGCAAATTGCTTAACATCGTTTAAACCCTCTGCAATGTACTAAACAATGTTGTTTTGATAACCTGAATACGACACTTCACGACTTCTCTATACACCTGGCTATGTGTGTGATTGTGTCAATACACTTGAAATGCAATAGTTTTGTACTTCCTTTTTCTCGTAACAATTTATTTAAAACTATTTGAACCCTCTTCAATTAAGACATTTACCTAAAGGTATCTAAATACTGCTTTGCAAAACCAATACTCGGAATTTGTTGACGTATACGTGCACATGTGAATAGAGGAAATTGTGTATCCCTCTTATGGCTATCAAGGAACAGAATATGTTTATAACGTCATATAAAGCGTCTGCTTGTGGAAGATAATTTTCATTGTTAAACGCTGTTTCGAAGAACCTTTACTCAGAAGTTTTCAATCTGCCGTAAATGTTAACAGGGGAATATTATGACCTTTATTGAGACAAAGCTTTGTACCCTTAGTTTACCCAGAGAATCAATCTCTGGTTTATCACACAATCAAAATAATCAATGTATCACCATGTATTATTGTGCTGCAATTAGGACGTCTACATTTGAAGTTGAAACAGTGCTCTTTTTAAGAACGCGCATGCTGCATTTTATGATTTATGAAAAAGAATTTGTTTGATGCTTTATCTCAGGAAAGCATTAAACTATCTTTTCTTACATTCAATTCAATTCAATTCGTAGGTTTTTACCATGGCGTAACCTAGTAACTGCTTTCTATTTGCAAAGAGCAAAATATGAATGTTTTTTAAGTGGGAATGTCGTGGCCGAGTGGTTTAAGGCGCTTGACTGGAAATGCGAAAGTCGAGGGTTCGAATCCCGACACGGCACTAATATAATGTGGCAAGATATTAACCTGTACTTGCTACTCTCCACCCAGGCGTTAATGGGTACCCGGTAGGATGCGACCGTCATTGTTGGTCAAACAGTTTTAGAGCGTCAAGTAACGCCTGGCTGGAATGCTCCCCAGGGGGTGAAGATTGTGCACACAGTGTGTGCGGACAGGCACTGACTCCAATAACCGGGGTAATAGTATATCTGTAAAGCGCTTAGAGACATTGTATTAAACGCTTTAAGAGCGAAATATTATTATTATTTGTTAAGTTTCCGGTAACAGTTGCTCCGCGTTCGATATCCTGCATTTGCCGAATAATCGACCTCAACCCTGAACCACACACAACCCTGACCCTAACCCTCAACGTAACCCGCCATGCAATTGCAACCCTAACAACAACAACACCAACAAGGAACACCTAAGCCATGCATTGTAAGTGAATGTTATTTCCACTTAGCGGCGAGATGATGATATGATCTGCGCCTACTTTTGCCTGATCTAAGCTCACACCGCCCGCATATGAAAGGAAGCGAACATTATTCATATATCATTTAACAACTATTTCAGTGATAGGGACCTAATGCTGGCAGTATTATCTCCGCCATCAAATATCTTTGATCCTATGTCACATTGTATCTCACTGTGTAAGTGTATGATTATCTGTCAACTTTGGTATGGATTACAAAAATAACATGCAATCACCGGGATACAATAACATTCTGCCAGCTATTGCATAAAGAGAAGGATAAGTTTGCAACTTTAATCTTCAAACATTCTCCGAAATCTAATTTAATAAATAGGTAAATAGGACAATGAGTCTTGAATTTAAATAATAAATAAATAAATAATTACAGTGCTTATATAGCGCCTAACCCTTACTTTGTCAGAAGTCTCTAAGCGCTCTACAATAATGCAGCATAATTAAAGGGGCTGATTTTCTCTGGAAAATTCACCTTTCAAAGCGAAGGGCTACAACATTCCTAATTTCATGAATGTACCTCGGATGTACCCCAAGGCGTCGTTTAAGGACCCTTTCTTTTCTGTTATATGATTATTGCATTAAATTATAACGTATCATTCAAGGAGAAACAAATTATTTAAATGGATTGCACAGATCCTTGAAAACAAACATGATGATTTGAAGGTTATAAATATGTTTTACTTAACCGTTTATGGAAGTGGAGTTAAGAACGAAAAATCATCCGTTCTATTATGTTTCTACATGTATATATATATATATATATATATATATATATATATATATATATATATATATTAACAAAAATTAATTATGTAATGTAAAACCTCAATACACACAAACGAGGACCCAGTCACTTGTGATGTATAATTTACAAATGCATGACTGTCTAATCACAAATCTAGTTCCTCTTTCTCTCTCTCCCACTCTTCTCCCCTTCTCCCTCTCCCTATTCTTCTACTTCTCTCTCTCTCTCTCTCTCTCTCTCTCTCTTTCTCTCTCTCTTTCTCCTGCAGTGTATGAGACATGGAGATGAAAATGAAAATAAAGTTAAAAGAGAAATACAAACCATTTTTTTTTAATTCAGCTTGTAGGAAATAGGAAACTACTTAGTTCAATTATCACACTTTTACGCCATGCACGGTCATTTAAGATACTCTCTCTTGAAGGCACAGTAATTATTGATCAAAGAATATTTCTATGTCAGTGGGCAGCTTAAAGATAAAACTACGTGGTGTGATGCAGGGAAACGTATACCAAACAAAATATGTGTGAGTGCGTGATTCGAAATGATCCAAGGGCGTTATGGCGACTGGACGGAAAAAGTCGCTATTTAATTTGTTTGATGTCGCTACCAGCACGTAGATCAACGGCGCATCCCAACGAGAGAATCTCTTTCCTCCTTTTCTCCTCCCTACTTTCGCTATTCAATCTTACCATTTTTGTGATAAAAGCAGCCCATCTCTTCTCTCTTGCTATTTTATCGCTAAATTAAAGGGACATTCCACTGTCTCTTGATCTAATTAGCTTAAACTCAAGCGTATCCGATAACACTTTGGCGTTCGGTATAGCCCCACCTGTTAACTCATCTGTATCCGACTCCTTTTGTTTCGCATCGAACTGTTTAAACGCTTCTCCGGGGTAAAATGTATTGATGTTTTGCGTTATGTCTGTAACAAAACGTGCCCTCGCATGCTTTCGATGTGTGTCCATAGCAAATCAATGTTGACAACCATGCATTCCACTTGGTTTGAATTGCCTTCATTTTCAATTAATGAAAAAGAAAAGAAATAGGCGATGTGTGCTCACTCTTCAGGGGTAGCGTGATAGAAAAGGGGGATAACTTTCAGAAATACGCGCATCAAATTTGATTTATGTTGTTCTGTAAAGACAGAGTTTGGGAGGAGGAGGTCGGAGAATCAACATGAAGTGTTTTGAGAGGGGAAGTTATCAAAGCAGCGGCAGAAAAGACAAATGGAATATGGGGGATCGTGTTGCATTGCTTCAAGTGTGAATTCCAACAATCGATAATGCCTGGGATGTACAAAGATAGACAATAAGAATGTTACTTAAATAAGAAAAATAGTAAGAAAAGAAAAATACAAGTGAAAGAGAGATTGAGTGGGAGGAAGAGAACCAGGAAAAGTAAGGAGGAAGGGGATGAGTGAGAGAGAGAGAGAGAGAGAGAGAGAGAGGGGGGTATTGTAATTTAGCTTTCTAAAGACAGAAAGATGTTTTTAAAAAAGAGTATCAAACTTCGCAAATGTTATGTAATAAATTGAAAATTTCAATTAATTCTTATTGTTCTGAGAGTTAGAAATGAAGCTCTATGGGTAGAGATTATGTCTTGAAAAATATCATGAGTTTACTTTATCAGGAAAATATATCATGTGTTATGAAACAGAAGGTCGTTATCCCTATACATTTTTCTGCCAAAGGATGTTGAACTGCAGTATTGTCTGATTTTAATTTTTTTTCTCCTAAGCTGAATATATGAAAATTATTTTTTTCCCCCATCAGTTTGGCTAATCATATCCCAATGGAACATTTAGATTATACACTCAAATAATAATATTTTTTACGAAGAAAATTTTGTATTTATAAGGATGTACATTTTAGGAAGTTTTTTATTACATTATCAGCCAAAAAAGGAAATCTAAATAATCTTGGAATTAAGCTAATGGATTTTACGAGTATCATTCTGTTATCCAAGTCTGAAGAACACTGCGTTCGCGCAACAAATCAATTCTTTCACCGATAATTTTTTTTCTCTTTCAATTAGTGTAAAATGTGCCAGAATTGAAAAGGAGAAATGAAATGTGAAGGGAAACCATAATATCCAATAGACTTTAAATTATGCAAAGTGAAAGACGAAAAGTTTTAACTGTATGTATTTCTTTAAATCTTTTTTACGATTTTGACGTACAAAATTAATAGTATGAGATTTCAGTTTTAGATGTATTTGTGTACTAGATATTTGTTTAGATAATAGTGCATAACATAAATGTCAGGACAAAAAATACGTTTCTGATAAGTAACATTAATAGTAACTAAACAGTATACATATTATAAGATGATGAAACAAATCATAATCAAATGATTGGTTGAGATTGTACACGTGACCGGGCATTTATTTTGCCTAACACGTTATTTTACTAATGACCGGTAATTAGTAAATATTTATGACCGGTCAGTATTAGAATTATTTCGTAAAACATCATTTCATAAAACAATAAAACATCATCTTATAAAACAAATAATACACATCATTTTGTTCGGGCCTTATCACCCACACTCGTTACCTTCGAAACAGTCAAAACACCCGCGGCTATCGCCTCGGGCGTGTCATACAGTTCCAAAAGTACCTTGTGTGGGTAATTCTTACTATTGCCTTCACTGCTGTGAATTACTTGTATACTAGGCCTACTTTTTAAAAGTAGGGCATATTAAAAAGCTTTGCTTACATATAACATGTCCATAAAAACTAACTTAAAATAATATCTTGATCAATTAATAAATGCATGTTTACCATCTTTGTTCATTCCTGCATCCAGACATTTCTTGAGACGGCAAGCCTGACATTGATTTCGATGGGCCTTGTCCACTAGACAACATCCAGTCCCGGCTTGGCATCTGTTGGAATAACGATTCACAATATAAAGAAAACATTGGTCAATGTTTTGTTTAGATAAATATTCCGTAAAATAAATAATCAGTTGTTTTTTCTTGACCTAAATATTGACTTGGCTATATTGTTTTTCTTGAAGGTATATAGTTTAACATGGCATTTTCTTTATAATACATGGATACGTACAGCACGAACACGAATCTTGTTTGAATTAATTCTTTAAATGATGACGCAGATCTGGATCAAATGATTGGTCGAGAAAAGACATGTGACCAAGAATTTGTTTTTTAACGAGTATATTACCGGGCATTTTCTCCTGACTAATCAGTATCTTTTCTTAATAATCGGCCTGTTAATGTACCCCGAAAGGCTCTAGATAAATAATATTTTGGGGAGGAGGGTAACCGTCACCACCCTTTTATAAAGAAAATGATTAAAAGAAACCTCACCCCATTGAATAAGTGTAGGTATTCTGAAAATGAGATGTTTTCCTGCCCTTTGATGTACAATATTCATTACGAAAATGTACAAGAGATATATAAATGAAGAGATTCCTGACATGATGTGATGTCGTTTAAAATGACACGGGCGCAGCCATTTTCTTCAAAATGTGACGTACCAGGTAGAAAGTTTACCATGTATCATGCACCAAGCTTTAGTTGGAAAGACTTTTTAATCAATAACAAAACCTTTTATTTTCAATGAGGAAAAGTCATAGCTGAGAAAATAGAAATTGGGTAGAATTCCCTTTAACTCACACAACCTATACAATTTCACTTTTTCACGCGTGTCAGTTTAACATTTTCTGTTGTCTGTAATGTTTCATTTAAACAAACATTTAAAGTGCTCCAATTCTCAGTCGCTTCTTCTTTTCATAAGCATACAATTAACATAATTACACCTCTCTTGAATGATCGAAACGTGAGGAACACAAATGTTAATAACACTAACAAACATTGAAAGGGGAACACCGGTTTGAGAAAATAAGACCATCGCGTTGTGTAGAGTAGACAATTTCTAATCATAGCGCAACAGACCATAACAAATTCGAAATAATAGTTCAAATATTTTCCCACTATAAAAAAATTAATTTACTCCATTCACGAAAATTGCATGGAATAGAAGCAGTGATGGGGAGGGGGGGGGGGGTTGGAGGGTAGTGCTCTCCATATTCTCACACAGTGTTTATAATGATGTCAATATGCCAATGTTTGGTAGAGTAAACAATTCATATTAATTACAGCGTTCGTCTCTTTGTGTTGATCCCACATAAACAGAGATTTATTATGTTAGGGTCCAATCATCAATCAGACGTTAATTAATATCTTAAGTCAAGTGGAAAGGATGAAACGGTATGTATCGAAACATTATTTAAGGCATTGAGGAAAATATTAATTTAGCAGATGCTATTATTCGTAGTACGGTATGTAAAGACTGGATATTTATTTTAGGGGTAATTAAGGTCGTTTTGAAATGAATTTCAGTTCGTCCTAGTTCCCCTTTTATTCAATGTAACGTAATCCCCTACATCAGAAATTTTAGTCTTTCCCTTATCAGCGCCATCACCATCACTACCACAGCTACCACAACCACCACTAACAACAGCAGTAACACTATTAACACAAACATAATAGAAGAACCAGAATCACCATCCCAACAACTGCCACCAACACCAACAATACCACCAACACCGTGCCACCAATACTACCACCGTCATTGCCAGTTTCATCTCCATCCCTAAATAATAAAATAATATGACAAATTTATATAGCGCTTGTGACTATTCCCAACGCCATGCACTACCACCATCACCGCCAACACAAGCAACACCTCCGACACCCCGTCACCACTTACACCACCAACCACACTGCAAACATCACCACCACCACCTTCAACACAACTGGCACCACCACCACCCTAATCACCACATCCGAGTCCACCACAGTTACCACCACTACTACCCCCATCACCAAACCACCAAAACACTACTGTCACCAACAAAAGACCACTAACACCACAACAAACACCACAAATACCATCACCATTACCGTCACCGCCACCACCAGTGGAAACAACACCAACCCTACAATTTACACCCTCACTATCGACGCCGCCACCACTTTACACTATGAATATGACGGACAAAGAAAGAGGACAAAATATACAGTTCCTCAGGGCTCAGGTAGACAAAGGAACACCCCTTCCCTGCTATTATGTAAAAGTGTGTAAAACAGGTGTCACATGCATATTCACCTGTTCTACACATTTTTACGTAATAGCAGTGAAGGGATGTTCTTTTGTCTACCACAGCAATTGTTGAGGGTAGAATGAGAAACTGTATATTTTGTCCTCTTTCTTTGTCCGTCATGTTCATAGTGATACCGACCCTCCTTTTAGAATCTAATGAAACCTCACCTGTAAACCAACTTCCTTCTGACGCTTCGCTTGAAGAAGCCGCTGCACCCATTGCAGGCATAGATACCGTAGTGTTTGCCACTCGAGATATCCCCGCAAACTGTGCACGTCAAACCCGGACATATACGCTTCATACCTGCAGAGGAAATAATGGTTAGAAGGTTTGATGATAATTCTGTTTTTCTCTACTTCATTTTTGATTTAAATGTCTGCACTTTAAGAAGAATTGAGTAAAATGTATCCATATTGGCAAAGCGGAAACAAGCATGCTTGTTGAGTGAAATGTAACCCAATATTGAGTAAGATATACCCACAATTTTACTGAACCATAATGTAGGTTAAACAGTTTTACCCCTCTCTTTTTATAGTGTAATTGTAAAGAGTATTGAAAGAGCAACCCAAAGGTGATGGCAATACCATATTGTTTTAATATCACATAGAAATCCTATTCGGATTACGTTTACGTCATTATGATGTTCGGTGATTTCAAAAGGTGATGGACTTGGCTAGCAAAATTATTAAACTGAAGCAGATTTTTATAAAAGCCTTTGCGATCGAAACAAACTACTGATTTGGTATAAAGTATAACCAGTGCGATTCCTGAAGAGGCGAATCTTTGCACTATTGTCATGTTTGTGGCCCTTGACTTAAAGGTAATACAAAGTTTTGGGAAATTTTGAAAATTCGGTGGATAGCCATCCTTTACAAGTTTGATTTATTTAGATGCCCCTGTGGATGTATTATAAGCACTAGTAAATTTAGCCCCTAAGACACTTCTGCTTTCGAGAAAAATTGAATATAGAAATTTACCGGTGCTCCCGGTAAATTTTTATGAATTTCAAATAGCGCCTACGTCCGTACAATGGTAGCTGCGACCCTGAAAATCTCAAAATATGTAGTTGTTATATATAATTTCCAAACGGGAATAGCTAATCGGTCGATTTTAGTCAAGAAACATTGTTTTATAGCTTGATAAATATCTTGACCTTGAGAGGGAGCTATACAACATAAAGAGGTTATTATTTACAATTTCATAACTTCAGACTCGATTTCAACCGCGACAACGATCACTGAATATTGTAGGATCGCATATGCTTCAAATATGTTCAATTAAACCAAATTCATGACCCTTTACCAAAACTTTGTATTACCTTTAAATGACAAAGAGAGCGAGCGCGAGAGTGAGAGAGAGAGAGAGAGAGAGACAGAGAGAGAGTGTGTGTGTGTGTGTGTGTGTGTATGTGTGTGTATTTTCAAGGGGATATGTATGGTAACAACAAAAATGGCGCAAGCGTGTTAAAGGTGAAGGAAAAAACACAGCTTCTACCATCTTTCTGGATAGAAATTCAAAAATGTGGATGAAGATTATAAAAAACCAAATCTTTTTGCTTCAACATTTGCAGGATGGTGATTAACTGTAAATAATGAAGGGGACATAAAAGAAGGAAAATTAGAAAACTAGAAGGGCAAAGGAATTAGAATGAAAACGATAGACATAAATAAAAAATACATCATAACATATTCGATTGCCAAGTTAAGGGAGTGCCAGATGAGATCAGACACCCGAGTAGGTAGCAGAATGTAGGAGATTAAGCTTCGCAAGATAAACGTGTCGATTCGAAGAAGGAATGGAAGAAGAAGGAAATGGAAGACAACATGATGGAATTAGAGGGGGAAATCTGAAGATTTCTGTTGCCTTCACGGGGGCTACAACTATTTGACAACTTAATCAGTCAAATCTGCGCAGGTGCATAAAGCTCAGAAGAACCAAGCAAATATCAAACTAGCCCCATACGAAGCTAGGGAAACACGATCATACGACTTCTACATCTGATGAAGACAGAAATCAGAACCGAAGCGAAGAAAAGCTTTCTTTCTCCCAGAGGGCTGAATATTAATATATCTCTATAGATATAGAGGGCTTTGCATAAAACATACGTTTTTCATATTCACTACAATATCCTTTTCCATTTATTTTCATAATTGTTTAATTTAATCCAGTTTTTTCGTTATCAATCTTGGAACGTACAAATCCCAAAATAATTGTTTTCAAACGGCATTGATATTCGTCGACGGTCAATTAATTGTATACCCCAGGGGGAGACTGTGTGTCCCAGGTGTTACTGAGCATAATTGTATATGTGTCGTGGTCTAGTGGATAAGCCTCCAGACTGAAGGCAAAACACGGTCTGAGGTTCGAAATCCTGCCGCGACGCTAACATCCTTTCGCAAGATATCGATCCTGTTTATATGCCGCACTCGACCCAGGTGTAGTAGTTTGGGACAAACCACCTATACCTTTCCTTTCTATTTTTACTCCTATACGCTAAGAAAAGGTTAGTAATGTACGCCTGTAAAACGATAGCCTTAAGTCTAAGTATATGTTTTGAGGATTTATGATTGAAATGAGCATGATGAGTGTTACCTTAAATGGCGATAATCTTTTTCTTCTCGAATTATTAATGCCGAGTATATAATGTTAAGTCTGCGGCATGCATGTAAATAGATCTTATTCTATTTCACTGTTCATTTATTATCTCTATCCTTGTCGGTTAGAGAAGCATGGAACCATAATACTCAAGCAAATAGCAAAATATGTGTTATAAATAATTTATATAGGAACTCAGCCTTAATCCATAAAAATGGCTTAGCGCGACACATTTAATGTTTAATGTTTGTTTATTGCATCAAAATTCAACGTCGCCAGGGAAAATTGGTCGAGGATTTCTCAGGATTAACCGACGTTGGAAGAAAAATTCGAATGAAATGTAGATCAATTATTCATTTTATTTAAATATTATGTATATATCCATTGCAGCGTTGAGTCTGTCATGATTTCATATTAGCTAAAGGGCAAAAGTTAGGTTTGTCCATTTGTGCGAAAGAATTAAATCAAACTTGGAGTATAAGATCACAAACCACTTGTATTAGCATAGGGAACTCGTTCGTGTTTTAATTTCACGCACACACACAAAAGCGCAATCAAGACTAGTAGTCCCTTGCCTGAAATGTTATCACGGTTGTGTAACCTAGTAACATAGAAAGCTCACTAATGAATTACCGAATAAAAAAGAAAAATATATTTAAAAAGGGGAGAATCCCTGAACCTAGTAAGACATATATATTATAATCATATACAGCCCTGATCATATATAATATGAAATGTGATAGCATGCAAAGGAAAGTCCTAATTTTCGAGGTACGTGTAGTAGAACTTCATTCAACCCGTTAAAATGTTTGTAAATTAAAGATCATAATATGCCTTTATGATTCTCTTCCTAGATTGAAAACCCAGCACGGGTCAAAGAGCCCTCCTTAAAATATATTATATATGTTTATATATTACCGACATATATATGAATGGTAAATGAAGAAGGAGATTTCACGTAAAATGCAATCATATTCCAGATTTCGTGCACACATGCTTTATCTAAGTCGTAGCCAACATTTCCAAGCTGAATAGTTTCGCAGTAAAATAGAAAATACTTATTCTCTAAAAGTTCTTTGATATCTAATTCCGTATGGCTTCTGCTCGATGGTCAATCAATCAAATTTTACCCGTTTTCAAATTGTATCCGTTTAATTTCATCAATATTCTTCCATTCCAGAGTTATTTCATTCTATGCGTATATATTTCTTTAACTCACTTCCTTCCTTATCTCAACTATTATCTGTCACTCTCACTTTGTCGTATTTCTGTCTCTCTAATGCTTTATCTCCCCCATGTATCCCTATCTACCTGGCTTTTTCTCCTTATATATATTTTGTTATATCTTTTTTTTTTTAAATCACAGAACAAAGTATAAATCATGCAGGATAGAAGTTCATACAGCACTCAATAAGATCGTCATAATTGGCAGAGCCTGAGCGTTTCCCGAGCGGACAAACGCCCGGAGATAACAGATGCAAAAATAGCGGGGAACACTTTCCCTTATTTAAACTTTCACTCCGTACGTTCTCTGAGCGCTGGAAAGCGTTTGATGGGATGATAAAGTGAAACAGCGGTGACTTTTCTCCAATAAAAAAGTGCGGGAACTTGATTGCCCGTTTGTTTTCCCCAGGCAATAGATGATGAAAGGATGAGAATATAGTACATGTTTGTTCATTATTGCATGAAGAGGCAAGGTAGAAGTTGGATGCATAATAATAATCGACGCATATTATTTTTGTTTCATTTGAGAGGTATTTTTTCTTTATTACTTCAAATTGTATTTCTGATGTAAGAAGGAGATGTTAGTGCTGCAAAGAAGATAAATAAATAGGGAATAATTGGAAATTTATGTTTGTATTGAAATCAATTGGAACAAATTTAAACGTATCGCTGTAAGAAAATAATTTTCATCACCGAATCGTGGAAGTTTATGACATCACTGATTACGTTATTTGGATCGCTGCTTAAAGAAGAACAAAAGGGAAAAAAGTCAAAATATTGCAGAAAAGAGGCAAAACGTCTTTCTGCGTGTTAAAAATAATTGCATTCGCTGAATTTTAAACACATTTATGATTTCATAGATTTATATTCATGACTGCTGTTCCAGAAGTTTAATATTGGCCTAATGTAATTTGTAAGACAAGTCATAAGGAAAAAGGACAATATAAAACAAAATCTTCTTACTTCTCAACTTTGTAATTCTGCAATCAATTACCATCGTATATAAAACAAGTTAAACGTTGATATCTTAAATTCGACATTAATGCGACTAACATATTTTAGATAGAAAGATAATAACAAGAAAGGGAGAACGGGAGAGAGATGAAAGAAAATAAATAACTTCAAATCTGGCTCGGGAAACAGTTTTGAGTAGAGGTCATCAGCTTACGAAATGACAATTCACAACACGGACATAAGAGGCAAAGTTGTTTAGGAGGCATCTAGGCGCTTGGCGAGTATCAGATCTTCCCTTTAGGGAGCGAGCGGGGCGGCAAGGATTTAACACCTGTACCCGCTAGCCCAAACAAGACTTTCAATTCTTCATAACCAATCTCTTCCGCCCCTGCCCCAATCTTACTCTCTGGTCCTTTCTACCTTTATTCTCATCTTGGAATATATTTTGTTTAACTCGTTGCCTTCTCGGAGTTTCCAAAACGGTCCCGAGGCTATTACTCATACTTCCAGTATCAACAAATCTCAACGGA